CAACGTTTGCTTTTAGAAGTTCCCCAAATTCTGCGCTACCAGCCCTTTAGCGGTGGACGGTACGTATTTGAAAACGCAACCTTTGAGAACTGCTCCCTGCGGCCCGAGTCCTGGGACACAGACAGCTCGGGAAGGCCAGCGAAGCGCACGGAACCGCCAGTGGGCTGCAAGCCGGACAGGACTGTCGCCCTGGTAGAACTGTCGCCCGCCAAAAAGTCTTCCAGTCTCGAGTGTATGGTTGACCCGGAGGCGATGCGAACGAAACTCAGCACTTGTGGTGAGATTTTGCAGTCGAATTTATTAGCATGATTTAGTCAGGTTTGCTAAAAATGAGAAGGCAAAGTATGACCAGGGCAGCAACAGGGGATGACAGCTGAGACAGTTTATGAGCAGCGAGTGGTTTGATTAGTAAACGTCGAGCATGGGACCTGCGGCCCAGTTACGAATATCTTTTGGGCGCACGGGAGCGGTTTGCGTATCCTAATGACAGCCGCTTCTGCCGTAGCATGCCGACGCTGTTCAAGGTATCTTTAGAAGCTCGCGGCCATCTTGTATGTTACTTGGAAGACCTCAATGACAGTCACAATGTGGTCTGTGTACATCATGTATGCTAGAATGGAACTGTTAACGTTTTTTACTTGATCCATTCCTGATTATGCCAGAAGATGTTCTCGTACTAATTTGGACAAATGCCGGTTCATGCGGCCAATATATTCTGCTCTACAGGAGCAGATGAATGAAAAGATGCAACAAGAGGTGGTCTGGGCTGGCAGTTTATACTTGATTTCTTCGTAGAGAATGGGGAAAGTAGAGAACAGTATAGGGACGTCGGCTACTGGAAGGGTGTCCGGTAGGGCTTGACTCAGTTGCTATGGCGTGACCCCCTAAAATGGGACCCTGGTGAAACTTTGTTTCTTCTCTGCTGGTACCACCCAGGTCTTCAGCTGTAATTCAACTCTATGTTTAGCAATATTTTTTTATCTGTCTAGTGGATATTGAATAATGCTGTTTAAACCGAGGGCATCCCATAACACATCGATGGGTAGCTTGCTATTTATAGTCGATTGTCAATCGCCAGATCAGTTTCCATCCTTATTCGGTAGTCCTCCAAGCCAACCAAAGTCTATTTCATTAGCCAGCTCTTTCTCGTGTGCTAAAAATGACAATGCACAATATGAGCAGGACAGCCATATGGAATGAGGGTAATCGCTACATGTTTCTCTTCTATTGGATAGTCAGTTGAGACGCAATGACCTTTCTCAATCACTTTTCGTTTTCGCAAGCGGACGTGGACCTTTCTGCTTTCTATGTTTTTGGTTAGCACTCACTGAATGCAGCATTTCCTATGGTGCGAAAATGCGTCAACTTTAGGGTCCACACTTTAAAGCAATCTTAAAAAACTAAGGAAAGCTAAAGAATGCTAGTAGAACTGTCTGAACTAGAACAAAATGGTAATGTAATGAACTGTGTGCAGAATAAATTTGTATATACTGTCAGGGCCAAGATTAGAACTTAACCAGTATTTAATTTAAATAAGATTTTTAATACTTGTGTGAATTCTGTCGTTTAGTTCGTGAACCAACAGATGAAAGATTAATAACCTCACAAATTTTTTTACCGCAAATGTAGCCAACCCCGCATCGACGACGTTTATACTGCGGCAAATAGACACACGGCTTTTTCTAAAAAAAAGCCATTGGTAGGTTTATCACGTATTATTTATGAGTTGCCTAGTTGATATTAAAACAACGCCGTTCTAACTCAAATCAAGTCAGATCAAGTTTATAAGGGGAAATAGAGGCAAACGCCTTTGAACTCTCTATTGGTACAAATTTGTGAAGGAATATATCGGTACGACAAAACACATCAAAATAGGTTGCTAACATACTGTAAAAGACTACCCACTTGTTCAAAAAAATACAATCAGATTTGCTGATGGCGGTTAACACGAGCCAACACAAGTCAACAAACCTTGAAATTCGCCATCAATAAGGTGTATTTTCCGCTATGCGTACAAAAAGCAGCACTAGTGGAGAGAGTTTTTGGTGGACTTTAATAGCTGAATATGACTGTTTTTCCAAAACACATAGATGCAAAATATGAGCAGGACAGCAATTTCGAAAAGTCGCACTCACTTCTCTTGTCTTTCCCTTTGGACATTCAGCTGAGACACTAATCTGTCTCCTGGGTAGCGTGCAGTAAATGCCGCAGCCATCTTTGATATGGAGACTCGACAACGATTGAATCTTTAAACGATGTTCAATATGATCTACTTTGTTAAAAATGAGAATGTACAGTAGCCGCCGAACACCATGCAACGCTAATTATGAAATTTGCTTCGACATTTTGGCATATATTTGAAAACACTATTGTGATTCATTCAGTTTATTGA